GTAACTGCAAGTGGTTCTGGTGTCTCCAATGGTTCTTGGGTTTGAACCTCTTCATCTTCTGATTCTTCTATTGGAGTTAAAGAATCAGCTGCATCAACTTCTGGGATCATCGTCTGCTGAAACTCCACCTGTTTTGGAGTATGCTCCACCTGCTGCGGAGTACTACTTGTCTGGACAGCTTCATTTGTTACCTTCTTTATTAGGGCAGATTCATCAAAGGTAACATCTCTGCCACAAATTATCTTCTTGGTGTCTAAACACCAAAGGCGGAATCCCTTCGCTCCATGGGTGATTCCCATAAAGAAAGCCTTTTTTTCTCTCGGATCAAGCTTGGATTCCTTCACATGATAATAAGCAGTGGATCCAAATACATGTAAGGAATCATAATCAGTAGAAGGTTTTCCAGACCATACCTCCAATGGTGTTTTTCCTCCTATCGATGATAATGGCAGACGATTGATGAGATGGCCAGCATATGTCACAGCCTCAGCCCAAAATGTCTTGCCTAACCCAGCATTAGACAATATACATCGAACTTTCTCCAATAGTGTTCGATTCATACGCTCTGTCACCCCATTCTGTTGTAGTGTATTTCTAACAGTGAAGTGTCAAACAATACCATACTCATGGCAAACGTCAAAGAATGGGTCACTTTTATATTCCCCTCCATTGTCCGTCCTAAGACATTTGATCTTTGTACCGGTCTGGTTCTCGATCATATTTTTCCATTTCAGGAAAATTTGAAGCACTTTATCTTTAGACTTCATCAGATACACCCAAACTCTTCTGGAAAAGTCATCTACAAAAGTTACAAAATAATGGTTTTCTCCCAAAGACGATGTCTTTGAAAGACCCCATACATCTGAGTGAATATAATCCACAATACCTTTTGTTTTATGTATAGTGGTGCCAAACTTCACTCTCTTCTTCTTTCCCAGAACACATGCATCTGGAGCAACTTTTCCTTTCTTCATCAGCTTCGGACAATCTTTCTTCCAATGGCCTTTCTCATGACAAAAGGCACATTCATCTTTTCCCAGTCTGGACTTCGACTTTGATCTCCCTCTCCACTTTGGCTTTTGACTTTTTGAGTGACCTTTTGCCACCATAGCCTCCGCTGCTTCGTACTTGCTCTCCTTCTTGGTTTTCTTCCTAAGCTCATAACTATACAAAGCAGCAGTTACATCTTTAAGGGTAACATTATCCTTACCATGAAGTAGCGTTGTCTCAAGGTGCTCAAATTCATCTGGAAGAGATGACAACAACATCAAGGCCAAATCTTCATCTTTGAAGGTTTCATCCATGCCCAATAAGTCTGCCACTAGCTGATTAAATGCAGTGATGTGTTCATTCATACTGGTGTCTGGTTGATAATCAAATCTGAACAATCTTTTCTTCATGTGGAGACGATTCTGAGAGCTTTTCTTTAGGAATTTTTCCTCCAATGCTTTCCACATCTTACTTGTAGAAGTCTCGTTCTTGTAGCCATACTTCTGCTCCCTGGAAAGACAAGATTGAATCGTGTTGCACGCCAAACAATTAATTGTTCCTCATTCTTTCTCCTCCATATATTCGGGTTTTTCTTCCTCAATGGCGATGTCTAGACCTTGTTGGAATAAAGCGTCTAACACCTCGCCTTGCCACATTCCAAAATGACCGGATCCATCGAACAACTCCACTGAGAAATTTGCATTTGACATCATCATCCTCACCGGTCCAGATGAAGAGCTTGATGTCTCAACTGATCTTTATTTTGGCATTTTAATTCCAACGAACAATATTCAAAAGCATGAACTGTATCTTTTCAGCAACGGAACAACCAGGATAACCTCAACCGAAGCTCTGATGTCAATTGTTGGGGAAATCGGGTTATTTCCCACACGAACGTAATTTCAAAATTGACCTAAAATGTCAAGATCAAAACCACCAAATGTTGCACAGCGGATAAACCTGTCAAACTATTGAATATTGAAACACAATGGAAAAAAATCGAATAAAAACAATAAAGGAGAGAACACACCAAATTTACGAGGTTCGACGAGAATATCGTCTACTCCTCGCGAACCACACCGGATGATAACTTCACTATATCGCCAATATTACAACAAATGAAATTATTTAGAATTCTCAAAGTGGGAGAATGAATAATACAAGAAGAAGAGAGAACTTGTTTTTGGGATGATTTCTAATGAAATACTTAGGCCTATTTACAGTTGAGTTTTAAGGACTAAACTTATAAATAACCTAATATTTTAGGGATCAAACATGAAAAATAAGTTGGCCACCTACCAATGAATTTTCCAATGTGTACAAGTTGGCCACCAAATATGAAATTCTCATGTTCAAAGTTTGACCACCAACCAAGATGAAATTTCCAATAAGTTTGCCACCAACCAAGATGAAATTTCCAACGTGTTAACTTAATTTCAAGCCAAATCTAACAGTTGTCACACGTGCAAGGGTTACAGCTGCAGTGATCGTGTGCCGTCCATTTCCGATGTATCACCCGTCGCACACCTGCACAAATAAATAAATATATATATATATATATATATATATATATATATATATATATATTCTGAACATTTTATATCCAAAACATGTACACCAATAGAAAAGACAGGGGAGAGAGAGTACCGGCAAACGACACTACCGGGACATGGCGAAGGGCAGCCGCAAGTCTCGTCACAAGCGACGCCGCTTCCCTTAGGTTTCATTATATTCACTTTCTTCTTTGTTTCCTTCAAATCCATTGCTACTTAATAATGTTCACAAGTGAAAGTATAATATATATATACATACATGCAATCTTATTTGCATGAGAAAACAGGTGGCACCCCCCGCTTCAAACGGTATAACACAACCGTGTACGTGTCGCAAATTATTTATTATTCTATTTTAATTAAATTAGTGGGTTAACTACATGAAAAATCATTTACATTTGTGTTTTGTATATTTGGTCACTGATTTCAAAATAGATAAGATATGATCATCTTCATTTATTTAATTAATATATAATCACTTCGTTTTTATTTAATTAAGACGTGGTTATTACGGGTTAACTGATATTAACAACTAACATAATATATGAAGTGATAGTTGATATAATCAGACATTTGATCCTTGTTATTTACATATTCTCTCAATTTAGTCATATTTTTAAATAAATTTTAACATAAAACATATATTTTTAAATGAAAATAAAAATAAAATGCTTTTAAATAAAATATTTTCCCCAATTTACTTTCCTTTATTTTCTTTCAACTAAAGGGTGACACATGGGGAATTCCAATGATGGCTGCAACGGTTGCAGGTGTTATAGTTCGACTACATGTCAGAGACATAGTGGCCGGAGAAATAACCGAGCACGTAGGCTGCTCGTTGGCACTAACATTGGTTAATAGCTCATGGTCACAAGTTATTCTAGCAGGGATAACATGATATTTGATTGCATCAACAATGGTGGAACTAATGGAAACAATAAGATACAGATAAGATATCCATATAGGAAAGATTGAAAGATTTCCATAGACCGATATGCAATGTATAAAGTACATGTTATTTCGACGAACCATTTCATTTTTCATTTTAAATTATTTTTATATTAATAACAATAAAATATTCGGACTAACTATTTCTATTTTTTAAAATATTCTTCCATGCTAGACTATAAATCTCTAATCATAAAAAAATTCATTTACTAAATTATATTTTGATCTTTTTTGCTACGTTTATATTATTTTATATCTATATATTATCTACCATTTAAAAATAACTTCCAATCACTTAACATTAAACTATAAGCTAAATATGATAAATATTATTGAAATTTCATTTTAGTAGCTAAACACCATGATAAAAGTTCTATAAATCTAGAATATATTTTATGGAACTTAAATTTGAAATCTCAAATACATGAACAAAGGTACATATAGAGTGAGGGAGGTTCTTATTTTTCTTAAAAAATTATGTCAAAGTCTCTATCCATTTAAATTTAAATAAAATTATATTTTTATTTTATTAAATTTTATCTTAAATATCAAAAAAATTATTATTTTAAACATAAATAATTTATTTCTTTCACTCTTTTGATCTTAATTTGATCTCTACTCAGATATATATATTGCCAATTCAAATATATTTTTATATTTATGTATATATTAATTGTTTTTTTACGAAGAAAAGGGTATTTTCAACATCCTTTTATGGGTCGGCATGTAAAACAACTAAAATTACATGAGTGTATTGCTCTTTTCTCATGTCATGTCTTTTCTCGATTATATTAATAATTTTTCATAATCATACGTAAGTTTAGTTTTTATTTCATTTTAGTGTTTGCCGTTAATTTTTATTTCATTTTAGTATTCCCGTTTAAAATTTAACGTTAAGTTTAAAAAAATGAAATTTTAAATAGTAAAATAACCAAAATTGATAGTTTAGGTATTAAACATGTTAAATTTTAGTGACAGGTACTAAAATGAAATGAAACTAAACATTAAGTATGATTTTTTTTAAATTAAAAATTTAAGTATTAAATCTGACCAAAACTGATAGTTTAGATAAAAAAAATATGTAGTTATCCTTAAATAAATTAGCCAATCCAATTTACTCAACCTCAATTACAATACAATCAATATCTTAAATTTTAAATTTTAGTATTTGTAATTCATTTCTATTAGTAAAATCAAATTAAAATACAATGATCGGATGTTGGCTTTACTATCACTAACGATCGGACGGTCAGGGACTCAGGATGTTCCCAATGAATCATAAACTAATTTATTATTTGTCGACTTTTAAATATAACAAATAAAAACCTATAATATTCGACGTGAGAAGCTCTACTTGATTTGTTAGAAAATATAGGAATTAAAACGTGAAGCCTACCACTATCACCCGACACCACGTAACCAAATCTCACACAGATTTTCAGACATATTTTCCTATAAAACAACCCATGTTCCCAGCTATGCTTTGTGCATCTCAATTTTGAGGCAATCATGAAAACCTTAAACTTTGCTGTTTGCCTTGTTCTAGTCGGATTACTTACCGTTACGACAGCGACGGCGACGGACGAGTCCAACTACGGTGAAGCTCTCGACAAGACCTTCATGTTTCTCGAGGCACAGAGGTCCGGTAAGCTACCGTCGGACCGCCGTGTCAAGTGGCGGGGCGATTCCGGCCTCGGAGACGGGTCTCTTCGAAATGTGGATTTGGTAGGAGGGTACTATGATGCAGGGGATCATGTGAAGTTTGGGCTGCCAATGGCGTATAGTGTGACAATGCTTGCATGGGGAACTATTGAATATAGGAAGGAGATTACCGGTTTAAACCAGATGGGACATGCTTTGTGGGCAATCAGATGGGGCACTGACTACTTCATCAAGGCTCACACTCAGCCTAATGTTCTTTGGGGACAGGTTCGAATCTATGTTGCTCGGATTCGGATGTCGTACAATTAATCAAACGACGTAGGATATTTAATTTATGTTGTACGATTTGAGCAGGTTGGCGATGGGAACTCCGATCACTACTGTTGGGAGCGAGCCGAGGACATGACGACTCCAAGAACCGCTTTCAAGCTCGACCAGGACCATCCCGGCTCGGACCTTGCGGGTGAAACTGCTGCTGCTTTGGCTGCATCGTCAATGGCTTTCGAGCCTTACAACTCTTCTTACTCTGATCTCCTCCTTGTTCATGCCAAACAGGTAAAGAACATCTATTGATCTTAACAATTCTATTCCCAGAAACAAACCTGGATTTTCTTTGACTTTTAGATCTTTATACTTTGCAGCTTTTCTCGTTCGCGGATCGATATAGAGGTCTATACGACGATTCCATCCCGAGTGCTAAGCAATTTTATAAATCATCGGGCTATTCGGTAAGTAATAGAGAATCCATGATCATTTATAGGCACGAAAATCGGTTTTTTCTCATCGAGTTTTATTTGTTTTTGTTTGAAGGATGAACTATTGTGGGCTGCGGCATGGCTATTCCAAGCAACCGGAGAGGAGCAATATCTGAAGTATGTTGTGGACAATGGTGCATACATGGGTGGAACTGGTTTGGCTGTCAAAGAGTTCTCTTGGGACAACAAGTATGCTGGTGTGCAAATCCTTCTTTCTAAGGTAAAATAAGATTATTCGAATCTTAACATCTACAACCGTTCCCTTATCCTCAGACTTCCAAACATATAAACGATTACTCAATCGTCTAAAGATCAGTGCTGCCATGGCAGGTATTAATGGAGAAAAAAGGCAGTGCGTACGCATCGACATTGAAGCAATATCAGGCCAAAGCAGATTACTTCGCTTGTGCTTGCATGCAAAAGAACAATGGCTACAACGTCGAACTGACCCCTGGTTCGTATTTGTTCGATGAGAACTCGTATTTCCGAATGTTGCAATAACAACAATGCTAACTGTACTAAGACTCGTAATCTTAATTTTGACTGCTCACGTATTTGGTTACCAGGAGGTTTGATGTATGTGCATGAATGGAACAATATGCAATATGCCTCAGCTGCTTCATTTCTTCTTGCTGTTTATTCTGATTCTCTCTCTGCTGCAAATGCCAAACTCACTTGTCCCGACGGTCAAGTTCAATCTCACGACATCCTCGATTTCGTCAAGTCGCAGGTAATTCTAAACCCAAGATTTAACTCAATTGGTTCACGTCGACTTCCTTAAAACACGGTCAAGTTCGAGTATCCGGCACTATATTTGACGCATGTCCAAATATATATGACCAGAAACATCGAATACACTAACTACATGTATAGGCCCTAATATTGCTTGTATTTGTTGCACAGGCTGATTACATTCTAGGCAAAAATCCCAAGTCAATGAGCTACATGGTTGGCTACGGACAGAAATATCCGACCCACGTCCACCACAGAGGAGCATCCATCGCCTCGATATCGATTCTTCCATCGCCAGTGAGCTGCGTCCAAGGGTTTGATGCCTGGTATCGCCGTCCTGAAGCGGATTCAAATGTAATACACGGAGCTTTAGTCGGAGGGCCCGACTGGAACGATAATTTTGATGATGAACGTTCAAATTATGAGCAAACCGAGCCTACAATTTCTGCCTCTGCTCCTCTGGTCGGAGTCTTATCTAAGCTCGAAAGCCTACACGGAAATACAAGTAAGAACGATATGAACTCGACAAGGATCAAACATAGTTCAAATAGTTTATGACCACAAAATATCTCATCTACATCGTTTTTAACTTGAATTCTTACAGAACTGAACCATAAAGGAACAACAACAAATAACCAACCAACACAAAGTACGCAAAAGGATTTTCCTTTTTCTCTTAATCTAAACAACATTTCCCTTTTCTTCTCCAATTTCATCTAATCAAAGTTCATATTTTAAATCCAGCAGCATACCATCGCCTGCAAATGCCGGTGCCTAGCCCGGTATCATCAGGTAATAAACGAGCACCATCCCTTGCTCTTGATATTCAAATCTTAACATCCGTAACACTCTCTTATTCTCAATCATCCGTTTGCAATTGTTCAGGTGAGTCAGTTCGATTCGTTCACTCCATAACCAGCAAGTGGAACGTGGGGAAGACGACATACTATCGACACAAGGTGACGATGAAGAACACCTCGCAAAAGCCGATAACCGACGTTAAATTGATGGTTCAAGAACTGACGGGGCCAATATGGGGGCTGTCGCCGACAACAGCTAAAAATACCTACGAGCTTCCACAATGGCTTAGGGTGCTGAAACCGGACTCCGACTACAGTTTTGTTTACGTTCAGGAGGGACCCCAAGCCAAGGTTTCATTGCTGAGCTACCAATACCTTTGATTCTACCTAGAGGCCAAAGGCAAAATTGGACCAAGATCAAATTATTAATTTTTGGGAGATCAAAGAATACTTTATTTACAATTTTCAAAGTGATTAAAGAAAGAACCGATGATTGCAACATTTCCAGATAGACAAACAAATTTGAAGTTTTCTTTCACTTGCAAAAATTGATAAACGTAGGCAAAATTCTGGTAACTTAACAAACAAGGCACTTAATATTGTGAAAAAATACTGGTAACTAAACAAGGCTCTAAAATTGTGAGAAATTCGACATGATAATCAAGAGTTTAATAATCTAAACAAAAAACATTTAAACATAGGGGTCCCTGGGAACAACTTCCACACTTGCTTAATCATCATTGTTAAAAGTGGTCTTCTTTCCTGCAATCAAAATTAGTTAATTAATAAATTATCTCTTAGATAAAAAGAAACTAGAAATAAATACAAAAAGGAAAGCACAAGTATAAAAAAGTACCTGTGCCAGCAGCAGCAAGGTTTGGCTTATTATAAGGTGTTCCACGTCCGCCTCTGCCACCACCAAATCGACCACCTCCACGTCTGCCACCTCGGCCACCGTCCCTTCCTCCACGTCCACCGCGACCACCACGGCCACCACTATCCCTTCCACCACTCCAGCCACCACTCCTTCCACCTCTTCCACTGCCTGGACCACCACCAAAGTCACCTTTCGGTTTTGCCTCATCCACAGTCAAGGAATAATCATTAAGTTTCGATCCATTAAGTTCTAGAGCTTTGTTCAAACTATCCTCATCCTTGAAATCCATGTAAGCAAAACTGCAATAGATTGCATATGATCAGATATACCACTAAAAATCACAAGAATACTTCCAATGTATCAAAACTCCAAGATACTAACCCTTTGATAGCACCGGTTTCTCTATCTGTTGGTACAGCCACTCTAGAAATCTCACCGCAAGAACCGAAGTGCTCTTGCAAGGAATTCTTAATCTGGAAACATTTCGGACAAAATAGATATAAATGAAAACTAGGACAGGAAGAGCAACAAAAAATTACTTAAAGCAAACCACTAACCTCGTACTCATCGAGAGATTGATCAAATCCTCTGACAAATATTGTTTGAGATCGACTTTTCCCACCTTTCTGGAATGAATTGTTTTCATTGCTGCAAATCAGTTGAACACATTAATCCAACTAAACTAGATCAAGGGACCAAAAGAGATAAATATATGCACCAATTCCCATAGTGAGGTAGGGAAATTACCCGCTGTAAGGTGTATATGCACCCCTTTCACGAGCCAAATCAAGTCTAACAGCACGATTCAGCAAATACTCACCATTCAATTGTAGAGCCTGCAAAAGAGATCATTGCAGAAAACATATAAAAGATTTAGCTTATCCATCTGACATCCATGTTAGATTAGAAACTGAGTCGACAAAATCTACCTTTTGTGCAGCCTCAGCAGTAGCAAATTCAACATGTCCATAGCCCTTAAAGTTACCTTCATGGTCGGAGGAAAAACGAACTTCAACAACTTCACCAGCATCTTTGAAGAAATTTTTCCTACAATATAAGAACAGAAAAGATGAAAATATTTATATGTATAAAAATCAATTAAAGGGTACCACAGAACCTAAACATACACATCAGCTTCTTCAACTTGAAAAGATAAGTTTCCCACAAACAGTGTCTTTGATCCTGGAGCTTCAGGAGTAGCAGGAGTTTGGGGCTGCAGAAAAGTTCTGATCAGATCCAACCAGCTTGACAAAATATCAAAATAACAAGATTGAGGTGACTTCCGAACGAAAGTCAAAGGGAAATGAACTTACAGCATTCTTAGTAGACTTCAAATCCTGCTTGGCAGGTGTTGAAGCATCAACCATTTCCACATCTGTATCCTGATTTTAACATAATAGAAGTAAATAACTACATCAGGCAATCATCACATCAAGCTTCCAAAAGCATGTACAGAAAATCAGTTCCTAAGATGATGTACCTTCTTCTTTGGAGCTTTTTCTTCATCACTTTCCTCATCATCTGATGATGACTCCTCAGATTCTTCTTCACCACTGCTTTCTTTTTTGAGGACTTTGGCCTTTGAAGCAACCTTAGGCTGGAAAATTTATAGGAAAAAAACAAAAGAAACCCCTTGATAAACAAATACAAAAAATAGAAGTACCACAAATAAACTGAAACTGCTAGTTTATTGAATTCAAAGTTAAAGCACACCTCTTCATCCTCAGACTCGCTATCATCAGAGTCATCACTACTGGATTCCTCAACCTTCTTGGCAGGAGGAGGAGCCGCTTTCTTCACAATAGTTGCTTTCTTATCATCCTAGGGCAGATCAACAGAGTCAATAACAAATATGAACAAGATAAAATGGAGAGAGAAATTTATGAATAAGGTATCACCTCATCGGAATCGTCATCCGAATCCTCCTCAGAGCTGCTATCACTGGATGCAGTTTTAGTCTTTGCAGCAGCTGTGGGCAAAGCAGCCTTTGGAGCAGGTTTCTGCATTTGTATACATCCGGTTAGCAAAATTATAAACCAAATCTTCTCATGTTTGGTCATAAGGTTCAAAGAAATCATTTATTTGAACATTTCTGACATCCCAACACTCACATCATCTTCATCCGAAGAGGTATCACTTTCCGAACTATCACTGGATTCCTTTTTCATAACAACAGTAGGTGCTTTCTTAGCAGCAGACTTTGGTTTTTCCTGCATATGCAAAACAGTATATTTGTAACTTACGATCACGAAAGCTCCAAATCAAATTGAAAAGGAACATCATTCAACAATCTAGCACTTACTTCATCTTCATCTGAGCTGCTATCTTCATCCGAACTACTGGAGGCCTTATCATTTTTAACAGGTGCAGCACCATTTTTGGCATCTGCGGCCACATTGGTTTTTGCAGCAGGCTCCTAAATCAAAATTTAACAACAATAAAGTCGAGATTTTCTAGTAATTCTAGTGTTAGATCTAGTATTTGCCTCAATACTCACATCATCCTCATCAGAATCCTCATCGGAACTACTATCAGCTTTCACCGTCTTGGCAGCCGGAGCAGAGGCTTTTTCAGCAACAGCAGGTTTTTTACTCTGAGCAGGAGCTTCCTGGAAAAACAACACAATGAACATGAAGAACCATATATTATCTATGCAACCATACATAAGTTACAAGCAAGAGAATAATACACACTTCAGCAGATGAATCTTCCTCGCTACTAGAGTCTGAAGAATCCGAACTTCTAGCTTGTTTTGCTGTCTTAGCAGGCACCGAGCCATTCTTGGCGATAACCGGCTGTTTCTTTGCAGGGGCAGGTTCCTAAAGAAAATAAATAACAAAAATCAGGCAAAACAGAGGATGCTTTATTTTACAGTTAACTATCAAGAAATATTCAAAACACGACAAGAAACCAACAGAAAATCAAGCATGAAATGAAAAGAGAACAATCAGCATATCGAAACAAAAACAACAAATGCAGAATCACAAGTACAACAGTAGTTGGTTTTAGCATACATCTTCAGATTCAGAAGAGTCATCGGAAGAACTACTGGTTTCGTCTTTCTTCTTCTTCTGGGTCTGTGCTTCAACCTTGGCCTTTACAACAGCTTGTGCTACCCCATCGTTTTTCTTCTGCTTTTTTGTAGCCACTAATTTCTCAGGAGTCTCTTCAGCTTCTCTCTTGCCTATAAAGAACCATAAAAGGGATGAAAAATCAAAACCCATAGTTTCATAAACAGAAAAGAAAAAACAAAACCATACAAAAAGCAGCTCTCACACAATGAAAAAAGATTGAAAATTTAAAACCCAAAAAATAATACAAAAAAATCTACCTTTCTTTCCGGACTGAGGAACTGCATCAGCAGCTACTTCAACCTGCAAAGGACAAAGAAAAAAAGAACACAATTAAACCCAAAATAAAGAGCTTAAAGGAAAAAATAATCCATAAAAATCAAAACTTTATTTTTAAAAAGAATGATGAAAGAAAAAAGAGTACTTTGGGGGTTGATTTCTTGCTTGATTTCCCCATAGGATGAGAGTAGGAGAGATTTGAGAGGTGAGTTGTGAACTTTTATGGGCTTTGAGAGATACTAAAGAGAGACGGCTGCTTGGTGCAGAAGACTCGCAAAACCCTACTCTTGAGATATTTTTAGAGTTCGGTTTTAGGGTTCTGAGTGAGAGGAGGCGGTTGAGAGAATATAGCGTTTTGGTGTTTAGCGGTACGCAGAACGCTTTCTGCAATTTGCGAAAGAACGCGCGTTAGGGTTTTTGCATGTTCGCAAACTGTAGCGGGAGAATTTGCACGTGTGACATCCTCAGCAGTCGATACCCTCTTCAACAGACCCTCATGGTGGACTGTCCAAAAAATCTAGTGATGCCAATCAGGTCATTCGGATCATTCGGATCAGATCAGATCAGATTGGATCATCTGATTCTAATTTATATTTGATTTAGGTTCGGTTAAGTCAGATCAAACATAGTATGGGTTAATGAAAATTTAATTCAGATCGGATATTAAATCGATTCAAAATCAAATCGAATGATTTTCGATTAGGTTAACATCGGATCAATTGTTTCTGGTCAAGTTAATATCAAATCGGTTAATTTCATGAGTATGCCTTCTCACCCTTGGCCATTATGCCTAATGATGCATTTACCATGAAATTTGGTATATCTAGTCTGCTAGTTATCAACCATGATTATTTGAGACTTCACAGACCTGGTTCTTGTGTCATGCCTTAAAAAATCATGTGAACTCGTGTAATAGCTTATCTTTTTTACCAAGATCTTCTTTAGAGTGCATAACTGCTACAAATTAAAGTCCGTTTGCTGAATTAGTGAACAATTGCTCTCTGCTTTTGAAGTACTGGTTTCTTGCAACTCTGCAAATTATGTTCCTTTATTCTCATTCATGAAACATGGATTATGAACCAGGGGTGTATTCGTTTCGGTTCGGTTTTTCACTAAAATATGAATCGAACCGCCCTTTGTTGGTTTCTGAAAATGGGAACCGAAACCGAATGGTGTAAAAACCATGATTTTCGGTTTGGTTCGACGGTTTTTGATTGTTCATTATTTTTCAACTCAACCTCAAAAAATTCAAATTTAAAGCTTAAGTCGAGTGCAAATATATAAATCTAAATTTATTAAAAAATATTGTTAGTTTTAATATTTTTTATTTATTTAAATTTATCTTATAATAAATTCAAAATAGATGTGTTTTGGGTACTTATTTTCTTTTATTTTTAACTCGGTTTAAACGGTTTTCATATAGAAAAACTGAAATCAAACTGAATTGGATATTTATTTTTTTAAACCGAACAACAAATTGAAAAACCCGAACCGAATAGTCGGGTTCATATTGGTTTTCTCGGTTTCGTTGCTCAGCCCTATTATGAACTCATTGAGTGATCTCAATAATAAAAGAGAGTGTTGTTCTCGCTAGACGACCCGAGTTCGAGTAGCCGCGTCTATAGGGTGTATTATCAATGTCTAAGAAAAATTTTGAACATATACTACCTTATAATCATCCCAAATTATTTAAAATATATATATGAAACATTAATTATTCTATCCTCGGCTGCCCTCTTTCAGTCCAAACATCCACTTGCATACTATATTTGTCATTAATTATGTTATTCATCTTGCTTTCAACATTTTTCTGACAATATCTTTATCTTCTGAAGGTCTTCAATGCTCTGTTCAACTTGTGCAAGATAAATAAGAGGAGACAGGAACAAGCAGCATAAAATGGAATCATTCCACATTTGATGAATTTTATCATGTCGGATTCTCCCTTGAAACAATATGCATTGCCGCTACTGTGCGACATGGCTCATGCGTCACGTAATTCAAGGGAACAGTTGAGGGCCCATGGTAGATTGGATGCGTACGAGTTTGCTCGATGACGAGCTTTGGTCCGTGACGGCACTAGACTCGCTCGCTGTTTGCTTGGTTCATGACAATGACAGTCGCAAGGTGGAGCAAGCTTTGCTGAAGAAGGAAGCAATCCAGAAATTGGTGAGGTTTTTCCAATGTTGTCCGGAGCAACACTTCGTCCACATATTGGAGCCATTCTTGAAAATCCCCACGTACGAGATGCCACACCTCTTCTTTGGTTCTTTTCTTGGTCCTTTTAAGAGTTTGCGGTATCGGTTGATTAGATTGTTCATGGTTAAGTATCAATACAAGAACATCCTCATCCGTTTTACTGTTCGAATCGGCATTGCAGGAAATCATCCCGTATAAACACGACATTAGCCGTTAACGGTTTGACGCCCCTTCTAATCTCAAGGTTGGATCACCAGGATGCCATTGCTCGCCTTAATCTACTTAAACTAATAAAGGTCAGTACGCTCCTTTCCCTCGTCAGAATCCGTCTGCCATCTACTTTCTTTACCATCCATTCGATGGATTCCATATTCTTCGATATAAATTCGTTTCACGAGGTCCCATTAAGATTGTTCACGTTCCTGACCTCTAAACAAACAAAAAACTCTGCCTTTGTTAATCATTAAAGTGGCTAGTATTCTTTTCTGGTGTTGGCAGTCTGTTTACGAGCACCACCCGCGGCCGAAGCAATTAATCGTGGCGATTTACCGCATAAGTTACAGAATCTAATCGAGGAACGGAGAGACGGGCAGAGGTCCGGAGGTCAAGTGTTGCTACTTCGTTGCTCAAAGCCCTTCATATCAACACCGTCTTGTAGAAAAAAACAACTCATTCCGTCTCATGTATATGTTCTATTCTTTAGGAAGGCAATGGCTTGTTTTTAACCTTTTCTTTTTGGCTCATAAATAATCTTCTAGCTATAGAGGTATTTTGTTGAGTCTCTCAATTATTAAAAGTTATAAAATTGTCACTCAACTTTATTGTTAAAAAAATCAACAATAAATTGGATAACCATGACGACTAAAATATGATAATTGTTTAAAATTTTAAGATCATATTTTATCATATCACAATTATTTTTTAATTTTTAATAGTCGTCAAAAGACTCAATAAAACAAAATTTTATAATCAGAATATCATCTTATAACTAGTAGACAAAAAATTTAATAAGAGCAATATCTTACCGGGGACCATTTGCATACTTTACCCATTTTTAAATTGGACCAAAAAGAATTTAGATAATAATTTTAATATAAAATGAACATTACATAAATGATCATATCCTAAATTCTTTTTATTAGTAAATTTGGATATAGGTATTAAATTCCAAATTTAAAATTATAGTTTGATAAAAAAAAATTACTAATATTTATCAATTAAATATTAACATCCAAAACGTCAATTTTACTTAGCTGGAAAATATATTTATATAATTTTGTTCCTCTGAAAACTCAACTCCAAGAGCAAAATCCAAATAAAAATTGATTAGTTTAAAGCTGAAGGCAGTAAACTTCGTCATTTTGGCAACACGTCGATTAGGGTCTAGGATTCTTCATTCAAACACCTGGGGCACCTGCATCTAAAACCGTAATCCGCAAGCAACGCCTGTCTCTCTTTGAACGAAAGGTCCTCGTCTATGTATGAAATTGTCACCTGAATGAACCATTCATATGTTATCTTGGTTCTCATTTAGATTTTACAGCCAACTCTTAATAAACAAGATGAGAAAGGAATAGTTACCTCCTCTCCCTTGCAAATAGGTCGGAGGGCAATCGTCGCTTGGCCGTCTCTGTCCTGGAACCGGAATTATAAATGAAGATTGACCAATGAAGATTAAATAGTATATGGACATCATGCAGATTAAATGGGAAACATATAGGCTAAAAATTGATATAATAGCCTATATGTTAGTAAGAACCAAAACAAGCAATCTACTAGTCGATTAGATTATTATAGCACAGACGTACTTCTTCTCTCTTGAATGCTTTAGCATTAGGACAGCAAGAATGGTTCATGCAGCTCTGTAAAGGAAAGAATGCGGTACCTAAAGAAAATGCAGCCAGAAACGGGAGTCATACGTTGATACTCCAAGAAAAGTGAAGAGTCAGAGCAACATAGCTTGATTGCATCGAGGAAAAATAGAATTCAGCTGAAAGTGGACACTTTCAGTATATCCGGAAGCATAAGAAAACGGAAAACTTTATTTAGTATCTCAATCAAAGAGGGTTTTACCTTGGCAACAAATGGAATAATCTTCACCAAGAGAATCCAGATATGGTTGTGTAATTTTCTCAGCTTCTTTCTGCCACAAATGAAAGGAAATGACACAAGATATTCATAATCCAAAGAAATTTATTAGGCAATCAAAAGGGAATGAGTTCTAACCTTTTCAGGAGGTGGAAGATCATCGATGTACAAAAAGTAATCTTCCACTGGAGATGCTACAACCAGGTCACTGTTACAGAGGGAACTCCATATCACTACTTGAAAGCCGAGCAAATTACATGTGCTCCATGTTTATTTTTAAGGAAAAATCATGTAATTGCTACTATGATTTTTACCTTGCACAAAGTCCTTTCAATGCGAAAAATAAAAAAGGTGTAATGGAACTTACAGATTATTGAGCTCGAACATGCCGATAATCTGCCCGTAGATTTCAAGGGAGAATACTTGATAAGATTAAGGACTATACTTTCATTAATTAAAAGCAACATTGCTTAGAAAATAATAACATTAATTACATTGATGCTTGGAGATAGGATACATGGCTCACATTCCTTGTCAAAAATGGCTTCCTTGAGGAGCTGAAGTGACTGAAAATGTTCAAAATAACCAGTCAATGTAAGACTTTCAGGAGAAGAAAAAATGACTACTAATTCAGCCTAGTATGTGCATGTTACATGAATCACCAATACAAAGAAATCTTACTGTAAATGCAAGCTCCCGAATTTGCCCCCTAAATGTCGCTTCATCAGACACATCAATGTCATCTGGCAAGGAAATACAGTCCCACCACCTATGGAAGAAAAGTCGGTAGTTTTCTTTTTAAGTACAAAGTATCAAAATACCTTCCAATCCAAAACTAATATTTATTTCCATACAAATACAAAGTATTCACTGGAGAGTTTAATTCTCAAATTACAGAAACATGATTGAGGAGATGCCTATTCCTGGATTTATAGATCCAAGGTATCAAAACCGGCGAAAATCGAATCCTAGGCATTACATAGGAATTGATGTCAATGACAGTTACCTTCTCTTATGTCCAATTGATATTGGTTTCCAAGCCTCCAAAAGTAAGGACATATCAGTTCCTGAGTTAATAGATGCAATCTTCTCCTGTTTGCTCAGATGAGATGCTTTGAACTTCCGATACCTTAATATGGTGAAAGAAATTGCCTGCAACATGGAAATCAAAGAAATATATCCCTAGATAGTAGATACTCAAGATAAAGTGAACATATAAATCACCCTACTTTGTACTCCAAAGTCCAATGAAAAGTTAAAGCCATACCAAAAACTAAAGCTAGAATGGAGAAGTTAGCAGCTTTATTACCTTGGCAGCCAGGAGGAAAATGTCATTTGTTTCTGAGAAAGTAAAGATACAGGTTATAATAAGTAAAAAATAGAACTAAGTAAGAAATGACACATGTAAACAGGAAGCTCATTAACATTAATATTGTATAATGTAAAATACTTACCATTGGCATGTTGTATGAACTTTAAAAGTGCCTCTCTAGAACAAGACTCTGATTTCTCTCCAGTACAGAGTAAGCAATGAAACGAATCCCAATCAGCCTCCGCACACGACTTGCTATGTCATTCAAAGAAAAAGAAATGTTAGCTTAAAAAGGTTAAAAATTTTAGTGACATAAAATATAGCAACTTTAACTAACCTACAGTAGAATGCTTCTTCACATCCACCGGGGCATGAAATGATATAAGGCAAGGGAAATTTGTTGGAATAAGGCAATGCCAATTCACCATTCATTAAGGACTCAACAGCCGTTGTAGGCAAAGGAATAGTACTACTAGAACTTCTAGAAGCTCCATTTTGCGCACTACGGAGATTATAAGCAAAGCGATCAACTTCGTCTTCATCAGATGAATTGCTTTCACATCCATTATGTGAAGAAACTCCTATTCCAAGTGTTTTCAGATACAGTATTCGTCCTATTTGTTTCTCTATTGAACCGATAAATTTGAAACAGTGACTACAAACTAAACAATCAATCTGAAAATTTGTCAAGAAAGAAAAAAAAAAGTAAGCAATTAAACATGAATTAGATAAAGAAAGAAAAAACACACAATGAATATATCAAAATAACCTTGTTCGAAGGATGCTGAGCTCCAACGAGCATTTGATCCTTGAAAATGAGTTCTTCTTCTTCAAAGTCCGTTTCGGCAAACACACCTACCGAGCAAATTACGCAATTATAACTTCGAATAAATGTAATTAATGGAAAACAAAACAAAAATTATAAAAAATTGTACCTTTTCCAAATTCGCCGTTTTGTTTCACTTTGATGCCTTGGCATCGGCGTTTCGAAATAAGCTGCTCGAAATACTCCTGCGTTTTGATGAACGTACAGAAACGGACTTAGCTGAATAAGCTAGAAACGAAGAAGGAAAAAAGAGAAAATGAAGGGAAGGTGGAGTGACTGCCTGGACTAAGGGAGGAGACGGTGGCCGGAGAAGGGAGGCGATTTGATCAGAACAGCGTTGATCGATAGGGCAAATCAGTTCCATTGCTTTGCTTTTGCTGTGCCGCTGCTGCGGCTTTACTGCCTCCGCTCGAGATACAGAAGTCGACTCACTGATTAATATTTGACGGCGCCAGAAAAATCAGGTGCGGGGATGTCCTCGGTACTACGGTGCGTGCTATTTTTTCTTGGGCATAAACTGGATTTTTGTAATATATTAATCTTATATAAAAAAAAAGGTAAATTATAAATTTAGTTTTTGTTTCATTTTAATATATATCATTAAAAATTTAAGAACCAAAATAGACTAAAACTGATATTTTAAGTATTAAACATATAATTTACCCTAAAAAATTAAGCTTAATACTTTCCTCATGTACTATAAATTAAATTAAGGGGTCGTTTGTTTACTGTTAAATGAAACCATTCAACGTTGAAGGCTGAACTATTTAGCATTCAGCGTGTTTGATTCTCACCTCTGAATGAAGACTATGCTGAATGAAACAGCAAAACATTGTTGAATGATTCAGCATTAAAGTACATTCTGAACCATTAAGCACCCGGTATTTTACCATAATACATATTTTTTCACATGTTGTCTTATTAAACAATCATATCTTATAATATAATAAATCAATATGAAGATAAAAATGAAAATGTTCATAATTCATATTGTACATTCAGAACCATTATCAAACAGCATATCACATTCAGAGTCAATTCATATAGAGCCTTTGAATCATTCAGGCCATTGAATCATTCAGGCCATTGAATCATTCAGTGCTTAATCATTTTATTTTATCAAACAACCCCTAATATAAAAAACTGAAAACTTTTAATTATATGTTCTAGAAATTATGAACATAAAAATATATTTTTAAATATTTTTTAATATTTTTATGAATTTTTATTTTTTTCTAAAGATATCTTATTTCTTAGTTTTTCACGATAAAATGATTCAATGACTAAATTACAAAAAAAAATAGAGACCAAAAGAAATTTTAGGCTAAAGTAAATGGATAATAAACTATTAAGCCCAAAACAATATATTTTAAAATGTAAATTTAATCAACACTT